CCTTATTTTCTCTTCACCATCATATACCTGCTGAGAATCTAAGCCAGGACAGTCAATACTTTGTGAGAAATATTTGCAGTGATAAAGCGCCTACTTCATATGAAGAAGCAACTGTGAATCCTGCCTGGCAAGCAGCCATGACACAAGAATTTGAAGCATTGCATGTCAATAACACCTGGAAGCTAGTACCACTACCAGTTGGGAAACAAACCATAAGGTGTAAGTGGGTGTATAAAGTAAAACATAAGGCAGATGGTAGCATAGAGAAGTCCAAGGCTAGGTTGGTGGTGAAATGTTATACCCAACAAGATGGAATTGATTACACATAAACATTCAATCCTGTAGTGAAAATCACAACAGTGAGGGCCCTAATAGTTGTTGTAATCAAGAAAGGCTGGGACATATTCCAATTAGATGTGAATAATGCCTTTATTCATATGGATCTCCATGAAGAGGAATATATGGAAGTGCCACAAGGCTTAGTAGTAGATAGTAAAAATCTAGTATGCAAACTCAAGAATTCCTTATATGATCTTAAGAGCAAGCAAGTAAGCAATGGTATGCCAAGTTGAGTGAAGCACTGTATTGCGAAGGCTACACTCATTCCATGTATGATTACTCACTTTTCTACATGAAGACAGCTGAATCAACAGTATATGTGGCAGTATATGTAGATGATATGATCCTGACAGGAACAAACAAAAAGGAGATAAAGAAGCTGAGGGCATTTCTGCATGACAGCTTCAAAATCAAAGACATGGAAAAACTACACTACTTTTTGGGACTGGAGATACTCTATAAGGCTGATGGAGTTGTAATCTCACAAAAAATAATTGTGCTTGATCTATTAAAGGAGTACAACTGTGTGGATTACAATAGCTTTCCTGCACCACTTGATCCAACAGTGAAGTTGAAAGCTAAAGAGGGCACTGCTTTGACTGATCCAACCTATTACAGGAAACTAATTGGAAAACTGAACTTCCTTACCAACACAAGGATGGACATAGCTTACAGTGTATAACACCTTAGCCAATTCATGCAAGATCCCAGAGAACCCCACTTGAAAGTAGTTTTTTACTTACTCAGGTACTTGAAGGATGATCCCATCATGGGGATCTTCATGTCACATGATCCAAATCATAACATCAAAGCTTATTGTGACTCTGATTTGGGCTGCTTGCCCAGACTCAAGGAAGTCAGTCAGTGGATATATAATTCTATTAGAAAATAGTCCTGCGTGCTTGAAATCCAAGAAGCAGAAGACTATTTCTCTATCATGAGCAGAAGCAGAATATAGGGCACTCAGAAAAGTAGTAGGGGAGCTGGTATAGTTATGTAGATTACTTAAAGAACTTACTGTGCCCTTTGTTAAACTTGTAGAAGTCTTTTGTGATAGCCAATCAGCTCTACACATAGCTAGAAACCCTGCGTTTTATGAGAGGACTAAGCACATAGAGGTGGACTGTCATTTTGTAAGAAGCAAGCTGCAGGAAGGGCTGATTTCACTCCACCATGTAGCAACACGCAATTAGTTAGTTGATGTTCTCACCAAGGCCTTAACAGGAGTAAAGCATTCAACAATATTGGGCAAGTTGGCAATGTTTACAACACCTTCAACTTGAGGGGGGTGTTGAGACTTGTATAATTATATTTTCATATGTAATGTTATTTAGTTGTGTAGTTAGTAGTGTTAGTTGGTGGGCTAGCTCAGCATTAGTTGTAATTTTATACTACACATGTATATACTTTGTACTACACTGAGAAATTAAAGTGAGCTTTCACTTTCCTAAATTCTGTTTCTCTCTCATAACATTTCTCTCTCAGAATTCTCTAGAAGAACTCCATTAAAGCTCCAGATCAAGCTTCAAGCTCATCATAATTCACAGATTTAACATGGTATCAAATCGAGGAAGCTCATGGTCGACTAGCAGTCTTTGTCTCTCTTAGTTTCATCTACTAGTTTCTTTCTTGATACTAACGGTTAATATTGAAAGAAAATAATAAATCTCTTTTAATTTGCTAAAATGGACAAGGTAAAAAAAAAATTATTTTTCAAATAAACTAGTAATAGTAAATTGAGGGAGTACAAGATTTCTTTTTTCTTGTACTCCTATTAACTTTGAAATTACTAGACATTAGAAGTGTGGGCTTCACACCTGATTTTATCTGAGACGAGAATTTTTTAGTAATATGGCTTAAGCCAGGTAGAGAGGTTTTTCAATTCACAAGGTGACTCATTCTGTTCATTGATTAATGAAAAATGAACCCTATCTCCACGTCAAACTTTCAATCAATAATATGTTTATCAATAAATGAGAGGGATTGAGTGGATGACTGTAAATAGCTAATCAACTGGATACAAAGAACACACTAATCGCTATAAGTTACGTAAATCTTAGAGGCACATACTAAAGGGATCTGCTTGGGATTGATTATACGTATAGAATATTCTCTTTCCTTTTGTTTTCCCTTCTTTTTGGAGAACAAACACTTGTGAGAAAGGAGGTCTACGAATCAAAAGAAAATTATAGCCATCCCACTTTGCTGGTATTTTGTCTCCATAGTATCATTATCATTTCATGTCAAAGGCTTTATTCAATTAGTTTTGCCTCACCTTTTAGTCTTTTGTTCGACAGAAATAAACTTACTTACACTTAAATAACTCAATCATCTTTATATATTAAAGTTAATAATAATTTGTGGTAGGACATTAGAAGTGTGTATGATTTTACCGTCAAAGAGTGTGGTGAGATGAATGAGATCCCTCCACACCCTTAATCAGAGATTTCAAATTCGAGCCCGAGGAATAGAGAAATTTCTTGGAGCACTTCCCCTTTCATGGGTCCTAGGTAGTGTAAATTTGGATTAGTCCGCCAGTAGGTACCAGATACTAGCTAGATGGCTACACAAGAAAAAAAATCATGGTTAAGTAATTAATAATAAAATTATATGTAGAAAAATCAAATCATACATTTCAGGGTAATAAATTAAGAACGTTGCCTTCAATTACAATTTAATTGGTATCATCTATCTGCTGGATCATTTGTACAAGTCTACAAAATTCTTTGTTTACTGCCTCCAATTATTTAAGTTTGGCTTTTAAACACTGTTGTCGGATACGATAAGGTCTATTGTATAACCAAATTGAGGCTCTGAATTAATTATCATTAATCTGAAAAATGTGAGATTAGATAAAAATTGTCATCCTAATTAAAGTGAGAGTATTATCATATATGAATAGAATTTTGTGGGGAGGACAGGTGGCCCCTTGGGGATTTGGGGGGAGTTTTTAGTGATGGACCCTTTGTATGCTTTTTCACTGTAGTGGGGTTTGTTCTGTAAAAAAAGGGCGTAGAAAAAACGAAAAGGAAAAAGAAAAAAAAAAGATTAGCTTAATGACGAAGAATCAGACCAAAAAACAGAAACAACAAATCAGATTACAGAATTAACAAAGGACAGTCAGTCATTGCCTACCTTATTCATGTGCCCTTCAGAATACTAGTAAAGCTATTACTGGTTAATTTTGGACACCCATGTGCCTTGTTTATTAAGGTTTTTTTCATCTAAGCTTTTTGTCCTCTCGTGGTTTGAAAAGCCTACCATTTTTGGTAGAAGTTTCGAGTGCTATGATTCAATTCATTCTTAAGTTTAAAAAGCATTCAAGAATGAGAAAGTCGTTGGGAGTTCTTATTTGCATTATATTCTTGAAAATTAGATTACCAACAGTTATAAATGAATTGCTGTCTTTGGTTATTGTCTTAATTAGAGTTAAAAAAGGTGTCTACAATTTGACATGATTCGAAATTTATGAAACTCCATACTCAGAATAATATAAATGCGCTAATTATAAGATTCTCTTGATGAATTACTCAAATCGAACTATTGTCTGTAATAGAGACGGGGCTAGGACTTGAAATTTATAGGTTCGACCGAACTCGTACCTCATACACTAGTTTCGCCCCTGGTCTTAATATATTCTAATTGTTGATTACCCTTCTTGTGGAGAACACGTTTGGCTGTGGAATTGCAAGATAAAGCTGCTCAAACATAAAATGCATGATCATATGTGGTTTGTTGTTTCCTTAATGTAAAATCAGTTTTATAATGTTGTCGACAAAAGGAGAGCTTGTCTTTGCATGTTAGATTGCATTAGCACTAAGTAAAGAGAGTATACAAATGATTAAGTTAATTTAAATTAATAGAATGGAGAATATTCCCAAGGTCAGTTTTTTTAGTTGAGGGAAGTTGAGGTAGTTTTCTTTGTTGGCAGTTATTTCCTGTTTTGTCATGTTAAAACACAGTATAGTGGAGACTAACATGCAGTCTGGCTTGGCTCTCTGTTACTTTGTTATCGTCCTTCATTTGTAGATAAAGTAAACACTGGCACTTGCCCCCATTGTTTCAAAGCTAGTAGTAGGTTCCATGTGATGAGTACGATAAAGTCATAAAGAAGAGCTACCATTACTTGTTATCTTTCTTTCTTTCTATTATCTGGGACTCTATGAAGGGAGACAAGTCGACACTACCTACACAATAAAATGCCCAGTTTTTTTTCCTTTTTCTATTCATTCAATACCGTCCCATTTCTGAAACGTTTAAAATATGGGGGCTAGTGTTAGTGTGGGGACGTGGGAAATTGTGTGTGTGTGTTTGGGGGTGGGGGNCAAATACATGTTTGTGTTGGTAAGAGATAGCAAGTACGCGACAAAAAAAAGTCTGAGATATGTGCGAGCTGACCTAGACATTACTATTATCAAACGAAAATTGTTAAACAAACAGAGCTTGTCCTTGAATGGTGCAAGTCTTGGTGGAGCAGGTGTTTTACAAGTCGAATCTGAATCATCTACATTGTAAGCTATATCAAATTGGATGGTGTAGATTGACCACCCAGAATCACTCAAGTGAATGGTACAATTTCGTTAACCAGAAAAAGAAATTTCAAAACGAAAAAAGAATACCACGACCGACCCAAACTACTAAAATTAATAAGCAAAAAGATAAAGATAACAAAAACGCATATATTAAATAATATTGGTTTACGCAAAGGAATCCCACTATGATCTCAAGAAGTCACACAGTTTCGCATTATATCTCAACCCCAACACACACGCTCTCAATTGTCTATAACGGATCTTTGTACATAAATAGCCAGTCCAATCTTCCCTTCCCTTGCAATTTTGTGCCTATTTTTAAATGGGAGTCAAATCAATCAACCATGATAGAAGAAAAATGGAGCAATAAATGAATCTCAGGTAGCCAAACTAAAAGCATTTGTTTATAACGAACAAAGTAGATAGCAACTAACATGCCAATTCAACACAACAGTTCGTTATCTGCTAGCATGCAGTGCATGGGAAGCAAATCTTGTGGGGGAATAGATAGCCAACTTATATACATATTATCACCACTTTCTTCTGTTTCATAATGGAGCAGCCATCTCGCCTTCCTGTAACGTTCTTTAGTCTTCTCCATCTCTAGAGTCAAAAACTTTTTAAGTCCTATTATTCTATTGAGTTTGCTGAAGAGATTATATGGCCCTCTTTGAAATCCACAAGGCATTCTTACAGGTTAACTGGAGGACTTCCCTGAAATGGAAACAAGAAACTTCATTCAGGGCTCTATACTCATGAAAGGAGCTCCAGTGAAAAAAATAACCATAACGCGTTAATCTGAAGGAAGAACAATGTGCTAATTGAAATAGCTCTCACCTTGAACAAAAGATCATGAGCAATATGTTCCCAAGGTAATGATATAGACATCAAGCAGCACTTAAGGGGGATCATTCCTTCATCTCGGGTAGCAGAAGCAGCAGCATATGCATGCTTTGCTGCCTCTGATGCAACTGATGCAGCTCGTCTCACAACAGCACTGAAGCTTAATCCTTTTCTAGAGTCGTTATCTACAGATTGATGGCTGAACTCCTGCTTGCTTTGATCTGATACACAGAGAAGTAAAAGCACGATTATTAACTTTGCAGAAGGCCTAAACAGATTAATCAATATTAGGGCATATAATATTCATTACTTCGGCTGGAAGAATAAATTAAACAGTTTAATACATTTGATTGCAGCTGAAGTGAACAATTACAGTTGCAACATTGATTTGTATTAAAAGAAAATCTTCTAGCTCAAAAAAACGACAGCATAAATGGACTGCCCCACTAAAATGCATCAAAGTTGCAAGAGTGTCATGCATACTAGCACAATATTCAGGTTTCTCTAATATTCTAAGAAATTATCCCAATAGAATCTAATTACTGGCCTGTTTGAGTTATTGAATCAACTGAGCAAAATTGAGAAGATATAATAAATTACTCTTCAAGTAATTAACCAACCACCAAGTTTATAACAAGAAATCAAATGACATAGCCCCACAAAGAGAGATCAAATTTTGTGGTACGATATGATGAAGCGGTAACTGTTTTTCAGTTTACCTACAACACCAGACACAGCTACTTCAACTTCCCCACGTCCTCCAGGGCCTTTCATGTAAATCCTGTCAGTTTTCCCAACAGAATGAAGGGAGAGAAGGCTCCCAAATCCAGACCTTCCAGCTGTGATCAAACATAAAAGGAGTTAACAATCAGATTACCAGAATTCATTTTCCACTTAACTGCCATAAACACAGGACTGGGAAATCAACCTGCAACTGAAATTTAATCATTTACTATATCAACTCTTTCACTTAAAAATCAGCATTAGAGCTGTGATTGTGACATCAACCCCTTAAATGATCACACACACACACACACACCCCCTCCCCAAACCCCCCAAAAAAAAATCCTAATCTTTGTTTTGAGAAAGTACTCCCCCATCCTAATTGATGTGAGACTTCCTATTTTGATGCAGTTCTACAAAAAAAAAATTAGACAAGTAAGCAACCAACTTTACTATAAGAAGAAGACAACCACTAAGATAATGCAATACATTGCAGAAAGGGTACCCATTCCACCAATTATATTATTTTTCCAACTTTTAAAAGTCTCAAGAGTTTGAAAAACTTTTACAGATGAATTTAAAATTCGATGCAATGTTTCATTCATTAAATTATCTTTTCAACTAGTACCACTTTTGATGGCAAAGAGAGGATCGAAGATCGTAAGGTCATATTATGAAATGCAATCCTCACAATGTTCCCTATCAGTTTCACACCAGAGCAATCTTGTCTTAGTTGCTACACAGGTCATTTTGGTCTACAAACAAGTGCAAGAGGAACATGCAAAGTGGAAAAGGTCTATGGTTCATCATTTCACGTTTAAAATTGATTAGGCAGCATAACTGAAAGAAACGACAAACAATTAGTGAAAATGAAGACCACGTGTTGAAATAGCAGGTTTACCATCATATGCATCTCGGACCATTTGGTAGCTAACGAAGCCTGAGAAAAGAGTGATCTGGAATCACATTACAAACGGTCAAGAATCCAACAACTTCACGCTACTAAATTTTCATGAGAACTACGATTATACGATAAATACAAAATAAAGTCAATGTCGAACAAATGAGGACCTGAAAATACATTGTCAAGAAGCTTGCAAGCAAGAGAAAACATAATCAAAAAACTCTTTCAAACATTTGAAAAAGCAAAATGTAAGTGCTTAATTTTAAGCTGTGCAAGTGAAAGGAAATATGATTGTAGAGAGGGCGGTCGGTAAGACGTCAAATTAGGACAGACGACCAAATACATCATCCCTAAAGGGAAATTTTTGGGAAGCCAAGCAGCCCAAAGACGATATATTCTATTTACCTCATAAAAAAGCATCATCATTGGGTTGCTTGGCTTCTCTAAAGTTTTCCTTTAGGAGGCAGGTAAATAGATGAACACTTTTGCATGATTAATAGAAGTGACTGTCAACAACAACAACAACAAACCAGTATAATCCCACTAATGGGGTCTGGGGAGGGTAGTGTGTACGCAGACCTTACCCCTACCCTGGGGTAGAGAGGCTGTTTCCGATAGACCCTCGGCTCCCTCCCTTCAAGAACTCCCCACCTAGCTCTTGGGGTAACTCGAACTCACAACCTCTTGGTTGGAAGTGGAGTGTGCTTACCACTAGAGCAACCCACTCTTGTCTGTCTGTCAATTATATAAATTACACAAGTTTCCATTTCTTTAACAAATAATAGAGTAGAATTCAAAATGTTGTAATTCAATTTTACATCATGTCATTACTGTTAGTTTATAGCATGTATATAGTGTAGTATTGTCCCACATTGGTAGAAGAGTAGTATGTCCTTGTATAGTATAGCTATAAATAAGGACCTCTTGTATTGTATTGTTCATCCAATATCAATAACACATTTTCTCCCGTGCCTTCTCACATGGTATCAGAGCATTAGTGAGAAAAGATCGTTGTGCATAAATTCCAGCGATTCCGGGAAAGAGAAATCATTATTTTTTAAGGTTGTTTTCTATCTGCTTCATTTCTATCAGTGTTGTGCAAAATCCAACACTACCACGAGAGTCGTCACTGTCCGGCGACCAAACCCCAGTGAAAAACTCCGGCAGCAGCCTCCTCACGCGCCTCCACGCGCTACCAGAAGCTCACGCG